TATAGCAGTAGAAGCAGCAGGAAAATTTTGAAACTGGAGAACCTTTTCAGCCGTTGGTGACGTCACACGTTGGTGGGGTGCGCAGCGATCAATGAAAAGCCCTTGTAGATAAGGCAGCGACGCCGAACACAGAGGGGTAGGGGGAGAGGGAACGATACATAATTTATCAATTAAATGGGTTTACGGGAGCGGTTAGATTTTTTATTTTTCACCTATTAATCAGTGCTTTTTTTTAGTTGGAATGTCTAGAGCAATTGTAATAAACATTGCCTGGACACGTAAATTTTGTAAGAGAAATACATTATTTAAAACATGACTATTTCTAGAATTTTTTAAAAATCCCACAATTACATATGTATATTATTAATCCGCCAAAACCTCAAAAATGAGGTCAACAAAACCTAAAATAAAAATTAAGAAATTTTCAAAAATATATTTATGAATTGACACTGACCCATATACTACTAAGGTTAAAATTACTACGAAACTTTTATTTCAAAATTATATAGTGAAGTTAAATTTTACCGATATTAATATTTGTCCCCTGTTTTCTGTAAATTTACGGAAACGTGGTCTTCGAAAACCACTTCCTGTTTTAAAAGCATTTTAAAAATATAATGTTACACATGTGTTTGCTACCAGATCGTGTGAACTTCACAGTTTTTTAAGTAAGGAGGTACTTTTGATTTTGAATGGCTAGAATATGGTCATATGTTAATAGAACATATGTATATGCATACACATGTGTACCTAAAGGTATATTAGGACCAATTTTCAAGCTTTTTACTTTCATTTTATAAACCTTGGTAATTGCACATTACACCACATTAAAACCGTAAGAAAACTACATATTTAACTAACATGGCCATCATCCAATTTTTTACATAACACAGGTTAAAATACAAATTAATTAGTTAATTAACAAAACCTAATTAGGGCACTGTAGATGTAAACATTAACATAAACATGATTTAAATTCTCTGTTCATTAAACAAATTTCATGAAGTAGGTCAAAACCGAAATATTAATTCGCAAACGGAACTTTTCAACACGCTGTCTCTAAAATTAGGACATTTTATTATTGTAATTAATTATGTTTACATATAACTTTTTTATTGTTTCACTATATTTATACATTGTCTCAGGTGTGTTAAGATTTTCTCTTGCATAGAATCGTAACCGTGGCAATCTATGTAGGAAGAGGTAGTGTTGCCCCAACAAGCAATTATAATATCTATATATATCCAAGATAGCTAGGGTTCATCCTTAAGGCATTGGTTATAACTTATAAGTATACTTTACACCCACTGGATATATTGGATAATGCAATGCTTGTTACTAGGCACCATAATAGATTGCACTTATTGATTAAGTCAAAAATAATCAGCTACTATCAGGTGTCAATCTTATTTTTGCTATAGGCAACTATAACACGTGATTTTTCAAGAAGTTTATGATGCCTCTGGCAACCATACAATGTATACAAAGCAGTCCTGCAACATCTCTTAAAACCTGAATTTTAAAACAACGATGACTTGGGCAGGTGACTAAACACCTGCCCGTTTAAAAAAAATTACCAACGTGCTGTCCCAGCACGCGACTTGTGCAAAATAAATGACATTGGCATAAAAATCAGAACATGAGTTTTATTACATTACATTTTTCTGACGAGTTATTTATTAAGCATTAAAGTTGGTAAAACTTGGCAACGTTGTGGGCGTTTTAAACTAAAATAATTCCCATATATAAACAAAGTGAAGCTTCATTAAGAAAAAACATGCTTAATTAAATATCTTAAGATATTTTAAAAAGGCATAAGTAAATCAGTTTCCGTTCCAATAAAAATACATTTTTCATATGGTAGTACCATAATGGTACGTTTATTTTTCACTTTCATTTTATTAATGACACGAATGTATGTATACATGTGTAGAACAATTAATTTTTATATGTTAATTTTGATATTACTTACTGAACCCGAAAGTACTTGTTAACTTTAATTAATTAAAAAGTAACTTTTGAATCATACTTTTAAAATTTTCATTCATCAGGAATCTTTGATAAATAATTTGTTGGAAAATTTCTTGCAAACAATTTTCATTTAATTAATTACGCTAAGGTATTTGTGAAAACTAACTTATAAGGTGAATGTACATAAAGAACGAATAATATATTTTTTTAGTTTTTCTAAAATTTTATTTATTGCAAGTTTTGATCTTATTTTTTTACAATTTAATGGAATTTATAATTGACTATTTGTTCCACTCTTTTTATAGCTAGTTTAATAAAAAATTTACTTAATTGTTTTAATTAACTTTAGTATAAATAACCAAAATATGCTTATATTGAACCTTGTTTGAAATTCTATTAAATATTCCATGATATGCTCTCTAAAAATGAATTAATCAAAAATGACTAATTTAGTAGGTATTAGTGGCTACTTTTTTACTAATACCATGGTATCACCAAACAGCCAATTCTTATAAAAAAATAACCATGGTACAAGTGAAAAAGCAGCCACTAATAACTATTAAATTAGTCATTTTTGGCTAATTAATTTTTAGAGAGTGCATTGTGAATAACCTCTCATGATGAGGTGGACTAATTTTCAAATGAATAAAAAAACCATGTCACGTTTTGGTCTTCTCCACAATTAATTCAAAAAAACTGCTTGTTAGGTAAATCATTAATTCGGCACGCGGTATGAAAATCAAAAGTAGACCCTACTTTTCTTCGCCATGGCACCTCGCCGCTTACACACACATACATTGTGGTGTGACATAAGACAAAAATGTGTGTCACTGGGTCACGCAACACATCTTCCTCCGACGGTGGGGAAATTATAACACACTGCTGGACAAAGATGTTCATGAGAACGCATCTCCTATTTTTAGATTGTTTTTTTTATTTCTTGATGCTAGTTAAAGATTATACTAACTAGAACCATGCACGTGTACGTTCAAGAATTTATTTTTTCAGATTTATTAGTCCACAAAAACTATGATTGTTTTCAATCTAACGAAAACTACCAATTGCAAAATAAAATAAGTTTCTAAAATTCAAAGTCAAATAATATAAGTATTTGTTACCTTGGATCTTGGTTATTGTTGCAATTAACAATAATTATTAAACCAAAATTAAACCAACATGCAATTTTTTGCAAGTAAGATGATAATTATACCTATATGTATACATGTAGGTATTTATCATTTGTACAATCTTAATTGGGTGAATCCTATAGGAAGTATAAGAAATAAAGTTTACGAACTGGTCTTAAGGCTACTAATAATTTTTCTCTTCCTTATTTAATTTTGTGTAAATTTTGCTGGTATACCATTATGAGTGTAAATATAAACAATTTAGGGGAAAAATCCCAAATGCGTCCTTTATACCCCAGTTTACTCGACTGCAGTCATGAGTTAAATACAAAATAAAATATCTAAAATCGTCCAATTTCAATGTAACAACAATTACTCGACCGGGAAACTTAATACGTTTATTAAAACACAAGCAGTTTATCATCAAAACGATCAAGACACCATGGAAATTCTAAATAAAAACCGGCGACAAGGCTTACCAGCGAATTATTAGATAAAATAGTCTCAAAAAGATTAAAATCACATCAATTACACTGGTAAAGCGGAAAAGTGTCGCTGAAAAGGCGCCGGCCAAAAACTAGTTTTGTACCTACGTAGTACGTAGTATAATTAAGAAAATCTCGCGAAGTAACGGCGACGCGATTGGCGCCAATTGTTGGATTTTTCCCGACGCATAATCATATCAATATTCCCATGACATCTACCGTACATTTTCACTTTAATGAGTATGGAAATTAACAGGTATATGTACCTATAGGAAGTCTAGAAGGCAGCGTCAGTCGGCGTCTAATCAAGTCCAGTTAAGCGCTTAAATGTTTAATTTAATGTCATGTCAATAGGTGAAGTCATTTACATTCGACCAATTATTTTTTACTGCACTTTTTTATCTTTAATTAGATTTCCGGGCTTCAACAGTTACCGGAAAACGGGGTGAATAGAAGTTCTGTAATTAATTACAGAACTTGGAATAATATTTACTTTATTCATAAAATACATGGATAAAAAAAACAAAAATCTTGAATAATGAGAATGCTATACGTTTTTGTATATACATTAGGGTGAACCAAAAAAACGACTATAAAAATTTGTTGATCATATCTTCAGACCTCTCTCCAAAAATCAGCTCACATAAAATATAGTCGAATTTTTTTATGGTTTAATTTTTCTGCTCGCTTCGGTAAATTTTTGTACTCGAAAAATGAATAAGTTTCAGCTTAAAATATGAATTTTTAAAGGTCGTTTAAGTTTTTAAAATTTTTACGTTAATTAATTAATTATTCAGTGATTTTTAAATATTAAATTTAAACTTAATTTGATTTTACTGCTGTGTTTAATTTTTGATATCTCGTGAGATACCTGTATTTATGTTTATTTAAATTAGGTTTTATTAATATTAAGTTATTATTAATATTTAAATGTCGCTAGAAAACATCAAAAGCAACGAATTTAACATTTTAAAAAGTTGTGATCGACCTTTAAAAGTTTATATTTTGAGCTGAAACTTTGAGAAACTTATTTGATTTTCGCGTATAAAAAATTACCGTAAGGAGCAGAAAATTTAAATTTTTCACAATTTTTGAAATTTTCAAAATTCGGAAGCTAATTTTTGGAGAGAGCTCCTAAAACCTGATAAACTAACATATTTTCATAGGAGACTGGTAAAAAATAGTAGATTTTACATAATTATAAGTTTCATTTGTTAAATTATAATATTTTAAATAATCTTTTTTCTTTTTTAGGTAAGTCCAACCCCATTAAAAACTAAATCCTACGGATCTCCAACTATTCGTAAGTAAAGCCAAACTAAACAATCTGTATTTAGGCCACACACATAAAAATTCCTTACTATAGTATACTATAACAACATTTAAAAGCACGTATAAGATGTATACAAACGTTTAGGGTTGCCCGTAAACCTAGGCTTGCCATCGATTACGACCCCTACGCAAATCGATATCAGTACGTCCCTGTAAGGCGTATAATACAGGTCGAGGGGTAAGTCGCGTCTAAGTGCGGGGCAAAGCGACGCACAGTGCTCCAAAAAATCTTAGAAATTGCTATATTTAAAATACTTACGAAGTTTTCAAATTCTTTAGTTTTCTACAAATTTTTACATTTCTTAATGAACAATTTTGTTTTTAGTAAAAATGGGATACAATTTTATATACAGATTTAAATCGGAAATATTTAGTAGTCGATAGAACTCGCAAAAGTAAGAAGAAAAATGTGTATAAACTTGCATGTTTTAAAGCTAAATTATGGTCACGAGCGGATAAACAATTTTTTTTTTCTTGAAAATATATTAAGATGGAGAAAAAATGTAAGGGACAAAAAATATGTATTTTTAATTGCTTAATCTAAATATAATATTAAACTCATAAAAAAGCAGTGGCATGACCATACTTTTTTATTAACCTAAACACCCTTTATCTCGAAAACAAAGCTTTAAAGCTTACAATTGTTCATAAGTTCATATAAACTTTTCTTTTATTTTTGCGAGTTCGATTGAAAATTAAATTTTTTTCGATTAAAATCTGAGAAACCCTGTATAGATAGGTAGTTTAATTCTAAACTAATTCTAAAAATCAAGTAGACCTGTATACCTAGTACGAAAAAGTATTTTAGAAGAAATTTTAAATGCACAAAAATAAGAGAAGTGTGAAAAATAAATGTTTTAAAACAAAATATGGGTTTACTCTTATTTTTGGGCATTTAAAATTCCTTCTAAAATATTTTTTCGAACTATAGCGCACAGTGCGCTTTCCTAAATTTCTCTCCGTTAATGTTTTGCGAGGCCTCGCCAGGCTCCGGCATACAGATTTTCGATTCAAGCACATTGAAAAAGGGAACGAAAATTAGTACCTCCAAATTAATAACTTGCCGTGGGAGCCAGAAGCAGCGCCGCATGCGATGCTCTCTTATTTCAATTTTGTTTTCCGTCTCTGTTTTACTTTCTTTTATCTCGACCAGTCCAGACACAGTCAGAATTCGTAAAGGAAAATGATACCTTAGATGATTTCAATAGCAGTGGTAAAAGTCTGAGAGTTTAAACAAAACGAATAGCTATGCCATGAACAAAATTTTGGTTCAATCAAAAGACATCTTTATATTTTTTAGAATTGGTCATTTTTTGTATGAATTTGTACATAGAGTGTTTTAATGTTTGGGTTAATTCCTGGAAATACCTAGTACTTTTTGTGCAAATAAAATATTTTACTATTGCATCACCTTTATTGATTCACTAATACTAATATTTGCGATACTGTTATCTAAATAAAAACATTTTAATAATTTATACATTTTATTATTTTAAATTCATTCAAATCACGTGACTACTGCAAAGAAACATTCCATTAAATCACAAAAAACAAAAATCTTGTTTAAAGGAATGCCATGTTTTGGAAAACTTTTCGTGATTCAGTATTATTAAGTTCGCCTAACTGTTTACTAACACATTCAACATATTTTTCATTATATCTCTCTGAAAACAAGCTAACTATAACTAAAATTATGTTAAATAAATAAATTTATAACCACAAAAATAAATAAAAATAAATAAAATAATTCCAATTTTAAAAAGCCCATCATCTAGTTTAAAAAATTGAAAACGATTTTTCGAACACCATAATAAATAAAGTTGAATTTTACCGCCTATAGGCTTGCAAAAAGACTCACAAATGGCTAGGCAGTAAACATTTTTTTCAATAGATTGCTGCAATAATATGTTAAATTAAAGTAAAATTTTACCGCCTATAGGCTTGCAAAAAGACTCACAAATGGCTAGGCAGTAAACATTTTTCTCATTTTTTTCAATAGATTGCTGCAATAATATGTTAAATTAAAGTAAAATAAAAAATATTTTTGCGATTTTAATTAATTAAATTTTATAATCAACCATTTTGTTTGTTTTCCATTTTAGTGGCTTTTACATAACATGCATATTATGCCACCTAGACCAGGGATGGCGAACCTATGGCACGCGTGCCATGAGTGGCACGTTTTAAATTTTTCTTGGCACGTTTTGAGAACAAAATTGTATACTTTCATCTTCATAACACTTACAAAAATTTACTTGTGGCACGTAACAATTTGAATTTTTTTTTTTATAATTTTTTGGCACGCACACTAAAATAGGTTCGCTATCCCTGACCTAGACGATGTAAGCAAATGATTTAGAAAAATTTAACATAACCTAAATTAAATTTAGTGTACAATTCGTATCATACATGGATGTATTAATATGTCTATGGTATCATATATTTTAAATCCCCCACTTTAAACTGACTATGCCCATAAGATAGATCATACCGGATCATATACAAATTTCCTCTTAAAATAGGAAACAAGGTCATCCATACAAAATATAGCGAATAAGCTGTTAATAAATAAGTCAGTCAAAATGTGTGAGATACAAATATAAATTTAAGTAAATTGCAACTTTTTTTGTTATATGAATTGATATGTGTCAATGATTACTGAACAAAAATTAATTAAGATTATGGATTAGAAGAATGTCAAAATGTTTAATATTATTGAAAGGGAAATGGCTCAGATAAGTAAAAATATGGAATACAAAAAATGCAAAAATGTCACTTTACCGCCTAGGTTTACAATATACTATTATTTAACAAGATTAACACTAAACTCGGATCCGTAAAACTGAATAATCCAATTTTCGTAAAGTAATTCATTTTTCCTTACTTCAGAGATGTTAGCAATTGGGTCCTATCATAATTTATTTATATTTGCTACGGTCTATATAGGAAAACGCAATTACAATTTTAATGTAGGTACTTAATAATAAAAGTAATCATGCGTAAAACCAATAAGTGGGATCTATTATAAGTGCCTGTGAACACAATACAGGGGGATTGCACCATTCGCTTTTATTATTAATAAAATTATAACCGATACATTTTATTTACTATATAATTTGTTTTAATAGTGCTTTGTCGGCCTATTTTCACGCTAATGGATATATAAATTTAATTTATTTTCCAATTTTAAAGCAGTTTAATAACAAAATATCATTTATCTATTATTATTTACAATTAAAATACATTAAAAAACATTTATTAGCCAATTATTATGTTAAATTGTCTCCTGATTTCGAAAATACCGTCAAAACTCATCAAGTAGAGCAGTTTTTGAGATACTGTCAATTTCATATTATATGGAAAATTAACTATATCCCAAAAACTTCTACTTTTATAACTTTTGACGACATTTTGGGATTCAGAGGACAATTTTACATGGAAATTGGCTGCTAAATGTTCGGGATACAAATTGCTATTGACGAGAATTATTAGTGGCTGCTATTTCGCTATGACAATAAGTCATTTTTGACCAATTTATTTTTAGAGAGATGATTAAAGGGTTTGTGTATAACCGAATTAATTTTCCTCAGCAAAACTGTGTGTTTTCCTAAAAACCTTTTTTATGCAAATCAGAAAATGTTAAGTTATCAGTAAATTTCATTAACTTTTTTCCCCTAATTCCATTACAAGCAAGTTTTAATTATAATGGAATAAGATACATTATGCTAAACTAATATGTTTGTTATAATTGTTAATTGATAAGACGAGAGCTTAATCGATGTCAGATCGATCGATTGAAATTTCAATCGACGCGTCTGTTTTAAGCCTTCAAATGTATGCCTTCTTAAATGGGCTACAAAAATTAAGGATACAAAATTTTCAGGTATTTTCGGATTCATCCGTTAATTTTACAGATAAAGTGAATTCTTGGCATTGGTGAATTCGTGTATTCTTCTATTGTTAATCAAAAATTGTTTTCCCAAGTAGCTTATGAAAGATAAATCTATCGCAATTAAGGCATGGCAACGTACGATCTGTCGCATAAAGTTGCGATTAATCACCGTCTGCCTCGATCCCCCTTGTTGGTTCATAACAATAATTTCGGAAATGCGCCCGTAGTGTGTTGCTTAGAAATGGGGACGCGAGCTTCTCGCTCTCTCCAAGGGACCAGAAAGGACCGAGTGGAACGGTGACGTTCCTTCCTCCTTTCGTACATGCAACTATCGAGCGTAGTAGAGTAGCGGTTGGTTTTGGGCCCCGGCTTGCTACGACCGACTACAAAAGAAAATCATCGAGGGTCTGCAATGAAGTCTGTCTGTATCTGCGAAATTATTTCCATTTGCGATGCTAAATATTCATTTTTAATCCTTTAGTCATCAAGATACAGGGTATATAGAAGACCTTTAAACAAAATTAAATATGGATTTATCGCACAACTAAATTGTTCTGTGTTTAAAATTGTAAACCATTTAAATAGCTATTAAATTAAAATAAACTTCATGCAGAGATTGAGATGTTGATAAACGGAAAAACACATAAAATTCGTATAATTATCCACTTAAATTTTGTAATTGGATAGGTTTGTGCAACCGAACGTTTACCATCAACAAAACTTAACTAAGTACACTAAGTAACCTAATAATTTTTACTTCGTCATGTACCTAGACAGGGATTATTCTAGTAGGATAATGACCTGTTTAGTGTTCTGTGAACTTCTTTGGTTTGACAGTTTAAGAATAATAAATTTACGATAAAAAAACTGCCAAAAGTCAAGTTTTAAATGGAACATTTAGACATTAAAAACAAGATGTGTACCATTTAATACCATTAAATCCAAAACTTGGTTTTGTTTCACCTGGCAACACTGTACGGCACACAGTCGTCTCTTTTGTGTAAGCATTTATTATAATGTTGCAGCTTATACGTACGTTTTTAGAGAGCTTCAGTCGTTACTTTGTTAATTGTATGTAAATCCACTGCTACTACAAAGAATATTACAAAATATGTAGCACTTTAAACTCGAATCCTAGGTACTAGACGAAGTAATTTTTAACTACTTTAACCTAAATTTAGGTCTTAAATACAGGGTGCACCAAGTATTCTTTGTATGCATACCAATGGGTATCTTTTTTATTGTTAGTTAAATTAGAGAAAAGTTGCGTAATTACAAGTCTATCA